GTCTCGCTCTGTCACCCAGGCTGGAGTACAGTGGCATGATCTCAGCTCACTGTAACCTCCATCTCCTGGGTTCAAGCGATTCTTCTGCTGTAGCCTCCTGAGTAGCTGGGATTACAGGTGGGATTACACGCCTGGCTAATTTTTGTATTTTTAGAAGAGATGGGGTTTCACCATGTTGGCCAGGCTGGTCTTGAACTCCTGACCTCAGGTGATCCACCTGCCTTGGCCTTCCAAAGTTCTGGGACTATAGGCATGAGCCACTGCACCTAGCCATCCACCTCAGTTTCCACATGTGTAAAATGAGGCCGATAATCGTGTCTCCCTGCTTGGATTGTTGTGGGAAAACAAATTCAGCCATGGTATGCCAGGAGCAGCACCCAGCCCTGTCACCTGCTATGCAGTGGTTAGTTGTTTTCACTGTTGCTGCACAGTGTGCCTGCGGCAGGAGTGCTGCAGCAAGGTTCCCTGCTTTTGTGAAGCTGACCTATTAGGTGACAAGTGAAACTGAAGATCACTTTAGATAGTGATAGGGCCATGAAGAGAGGGTGGGAGCAGGTGAAGGAGCCAGGCAGTGGCCCAAGCAGCTGGGCCTGGCGGGCCACGACGGGGTGAGAGTTTGAATTTTATTCCATGCATCAGGCACTGTCAATGGGTTTTAAGCAGGAGGGTGGTATGATGTGATACTTCTTCAAGGAACTCTAACTCCATCTGGAAAATGAGTTAATAATGGAGTTAGGGTTTGCAAAGTGTTTAGGAGGCACTGGGCATCTAGTGGGTGCTCTGCTAGGCAAATGTTAAGTAGAGTAAATTATGTGGAAGCAGGGAAATCATATGAAGAGGCTATGAGGTCCGTGGAGAAGGACTGGGCAGAGGTCTGGCCTCGGGGTCGTGTTGAAAAGGATGAGGAGAAGTGACCTAGGAAATAAGGACACTGGCCATAGGGCTGACTGTAGACACTGCATTGGGTGGGTTGGGGGCTCTGCTGTGGAGACGACTTAGACTTTGTCCTAGAGAAATTCCACTTGGTCCTGTGGGGAGGACACAGTCTCATCTATAGTACTCTTTACTCTAGTTGGGCAAGCTTTGAAACAAGAAGGGATCAGATATGGTCTTTGAGCTCTCAGACTGCAGGGAAGACAGATGAGGGAAGTGGCAGCCAGGCTGTGTGACAGGTGCCACAGGTATTGTGAGTACAGGGGCTCCGGGGTGTGCAGGGAGTCTCCTGGCCAGCCCCAGTTTTCTTGTGGAGGCGCCATGTTCAGAACAAGCTCAAGGAAGCTGGAAGAGGAGCTGAGAAGAGTGATCCTGGCAGAGTGAACCATGTGTGCAGTGTCCCCAGCTGGATGTGGTCAGGGCTGAGTCTGTCTGGCGCAGAGGCTTTGTGGGTGGGAGCAGGGGGAGATGAGGCGGGGGGCAAGTCTTGAAGGTTTGGATTTTATTCCAGGGGACGGGGAAGCAGGGGAGCCAAGGAAGGGTTTGTTAATTCTTTCATCAAATTTTTAGTAGTGGGCATCATATCTATGCCAGACACTGTTATAGGCATGGAGGGCACAGAATTGGACCAGGTGAAGAAAGTCCCTAGCTTCTAGTTTACATAGTAGTGGGTGAGACAGATAACTTGAAAGTAAGCCAGTGTAGCAGATGGCGTCAGCTAGCGACAAGTGCTCTAATGAAACATGAGGCCAGGGGTGATACCGAGCACCTCCGCTCAGTTAGGGCTGAGGCTGCTGCGGGGGAGAGGAGGCACAAGGGGAATGGCAGGTGCTTATGATGAAAGGGTTCAGCGGAGGAGGCCAGTGTGGAAGCTGGAGGTCAGGAGTCCCAGGTTGGAGATGGTGAGATGCTGGTGTGTCCTGTCTTCCAGGAGTCCTTGGCCTACGGGTGCTTTCTGCTGCTCTCTGCAGAGCTTTCTCCAGCCTACAAAGCATACACACCTGCCCCCTTCTAGTGCCCATCATGACCCTCCAGGGAGTGGGCATCACGCGCGCTTCATAAATGAGGCAGCAGATACCTGAGCTGGGTGCTGTTAGAAGGAACTAACCTAGAGAGCCAGCCCTGAGTCCTCAGGCAGCTACGTGGGCTTGCAGAGGAGGGTTTGAGGGGGTGGCTGCCTGGTGGTGACTCTCCCCCAAATCAGCCAGTAATTTCCAGAGCCACCAGGCTGGCTGGGCAGGTGAGAGAGTCATTGCCTCAAGGAAGACAGGAACAGGCAAAGGAAGGCTTTGGGTCTCTTTCTGGAGGCGAGGAGGTTGTTAACCAGGGTGTGGCTGGGTCTTGATGGGAGATGGGTGATCAGTTCTGACTGCTGACTCACCAGGCAGGGTGGGGCTGTAGTGAGGTTCTCCCCATCTGGGCCCCTTTTTTTCCCTCTGAAAAATGGGATGGCTCACTCTAAGAGAGGCCGAATGCCAGTGGTGGAAGGAGGACTGATTGAGGAAGAGGCCTGCCATTCATGCCCCCTCCTCACCTGTGATACCTGTGACCCTCACGCAGCTGCCTTCCAGAGGGATAAAACTAGACAAACTCCCGAGTGCCTGAGACAGTGAGGAAGGGCACCTGGGGGGTCAGGACATCTGAGCGACCATGTCCCTCTCAGGGTCTGTGGTGAGCACTATTCACCTGGCCCTGAATTCTACAGCTATTGAGGTGGGGTGACATCTTGCAAAGGAGGAGGCATGCTCAGGGAAAGGCAGTCACAAGTCTGAGTGGCAGGTGGCAGAGCTCGGCTGAAACTTGGGTTTCCATATGGATTTATAGAGTGCTTATTTTATGCTAGGTTAGCAGGATGGGAGGCCCTGCCCTCATTGAGCTTGTGTTCTGGTAGGAGAAAGCCGAGACAGAGATTTCAGATGTCAGGGGCAATGGTGTTCCTGATGGAAAGGACAGCAGGAGCACAGGCGCAAGTGGGATGTACCAGTGCTCAAGGGCAGCGTGGAGGATGGCAAGGAAACTGGCAGGAATGGAGGAGTAGGGTGGAGACCCCTAGGAGGCGAGGGCAGGAGAGGGAACCAAGGCAGATCTTACAGGGCGTGGGCTTTGCATTTTTTTTAAATTATGGAAAGCGGGTGGAGGATTTGAATGACAGGATCAGCTTTGGTTCTCCCCTGTCTTTTTTTTTTTTTAATTGTGAGATAGGATCTCACTCTGTTGCCAAGGCTGGAGCACAGTGGCGTGATCTCGGCTCACTGCAACCTCCGCTTCCCAGGTCGAGTGATTCTCTAGCCTCAGCCTCCCGCGTAGCTGAGACGACAAGCGTGACCCACCATGCCTGGCTAATTTCTATGTTTTTTGTAGCGACAGGGTCTCGTCATGTGGCTATGTTGTCCAGGCTGGTCTCAGACTCCTGAGCTCAAAGAGAATCCACTTGCCTCGACCTCCCAGAGTGCTGGGATTATAGGCATGAGCCACTGCCTGGCTCCTGGAATTTTTTCTGTGGAAAACATACCAAAGTGAATAGACTAGCTTCAGCCATTGTCAACTCATGGCTGATCTCATATTAGGATCATTAGGAATTTTGGAGTAAATTCTGGTTGCCCTATAATCTCATCT